AAGATGTAGGCAAATGAAATTAAAATGTGTTAGATAATGGTGATTTCAAAATAACATTCAGGTTGCAAATATGGTTAAAAAAAGGTAAACTTGATAGAGTGACACTCAAAGATGTGAAGCAATGGGCATGTATTAAAGTGACAAATGCATCCTAAAAATAGATGAAGTTTCTACAAGCATATTTAGCCATTTACAGGTTAAATAACTAATCAGGTAGAGTATGTATCATAAAGTTTAAGGCAATGTTGGAAGGTGAGGTTTGATCATTGGTGCAAACATTGATACATACCAGTATAGTGGAAAGTCAAATGACAATGTACCAAATTAAAACTTATTACTATATGCAATCCTATTCATGAAGGAAAAACAATTTTAGATATTGTGAGTGAATATAGCAAAATGTGGCCACACAGATCAACTATAGGTACCAATAGATCCTATATCATCAACTAAATGTGAAATTTTCATCCCGAAAACTTGTAAACAAGGATGGATATTTGCATGTGTGGGACATATGCAATGTACTTGTTAAAATCACATGTGCAAACATGATTCAAATAATCTGTTTGAACATTTTTAGTCTATTTTTAAGAGTCTTGGCTACCAAGTTATTAAGTTCAATGATTCAATGATTCAGTGGAATCAAATATCAGCTGATGCTGCAATACCGCCCTCTGTCAAAGTACTAAATTGAAATGTGTTACCATACAGAGGCATATTCATGATGAAAATAACATCTTGGGATATTTTAAGTGCACACAGTCAAAACTGAGCCTTACAGATTCAATATAGGTACCATGTCAGCCTAACAATGTCAACTTTTGATTCCAAACATTACAAAATATATGCATATTTGTTCATGTCAGCTATGTAACCATGTTAGGATCAGTTGTAGAAAGTTAAATTGAAATAATCTGTTTGAATATTACTTATGTAATCTTTAAAGTGTCAGATAACAAATATTATTAGTCATTAATAATGCATAAAGCAAAATGGATCATGAGAATTCCCATAATATCATCTGGGCTACAATGTCGCACTACCTCAATCAACATCTTAAAGAAACTGAACAATAAAATGGAATGCATTCTGTGTTCAACTTACATCATTTTGCTTCTTTTCTTACATGCAATGGTAAATATACCTGGATAAAGTATATTTTACCCCTCTGACCTGTATTTCATTCTCTGACAGCTTAATATGATTTTGTAGAGAACTTAAACAGGTTCTAGTATAAAGTCTTCATCTCTGTCCTCTCACTATATACCCTATAACTATGGTTATAAACAATTACTGATAGCTATACAAGCAGATATGTGTTACTCAGGAAGTCACCCCATCATAAACACATAAATTAACTGTTTGAACCCCAAATAAATAGTTTCAATGACCTAAAGGTACAAAGCAAATAAAATTTTGTCTTCATGTATTTTAAATGAGGGTCTCATTTTGACTAATAAAGATATTTTCTCTGATCCAATTTGACAAATAACCATCATTTGAGCTTGTATGTGGTGTAGGTGTATATATATCTTGATATCATTTAATATCATTCCCAAAAAATATTATAAATGTGTATACTTGGTGGAAATTTTTTATTTTTTAATTGTTTTTTAAAATTTCATTTAAATTTTTAAAATTACAATTATTTTTTTTACTTTTAATTTCATTTTTATATTTTTTAAGTCAATATACATAACATATTAAAATTTCATGTATATGTCATTAATAATAAAAAATTTATATCAGTTTCAAGTTTTTACTGACAGGCCATAGTACACAATTAATTTTACTATATGGTCTCTACATTTGTTTCTCAGTACTGAACTTTCCACTGTGTGACAATCAATACAAATCATATGTTAATCTAAAATACCTTCAAAGATGACTTTACGGTCTAGTTCTTGTCAAGGGTTGACCTGCATTTTTTTGAGAGGCTGAATTGTAAACAAAACACCAGGCAACGGAACACAGATTTCACTTCCGGATCATCACCATGACCTTATTACTCAATGTGCACTGTCGCCGAAATACACGCAGACAACCACACCATAAGCTCACATTTTAAAGAATAATCAATTGCCTTTAAATCCTTACCAAGAATGCCAAAATCTAACTCTAGTATCACCACCAAATTTAGACCGGAAAAAGTGATCTAAAAATAGACTGGGACTACATTCGTGGGTACTGAACCGGATTTTATTAATTGTGTACTGATTCCTTCCAGGTAGGCAACTGAAACGTTTGTTTTCCAAAGAAAGGCGTTTTTGGTAAAAACATGTCCTGAGAATTGACGTATAAACACGTTTTATCTTGCTCATATTACCCGAGCTCCAGTCAATCTGAGAACAAAACTTTAAACCGGCTAATCCTTTGGTTGTTGTTCTTTTAAGAACGCGAATTATGATACCATACTGCTTAGAAAATCCGCTATTGGGGTAAATACTCCTGGTAAATCGTCGGTCCTAAACCCACTCCACCACTTCCCACTTTAATCCAAAACACATTCCTTTTTCGTCACCCCACCCCCACACCACACACACCGGGGATGGTGCATGCTTGACCATAAGAAATGTATTCATAACAAAAAGTTTAACATAACCCATTTATAACTCGAATTCGCTTTAGTTTATCTTATTTGACATATTCAATAGTATCTTTCACCATTGCAGGATATGGATAGTTGATGGATCGAGACAGTGTTCTTTGTACGTATTATGGATAATGGGAAATATCAAATTCAGCTTTCAAGCACTGTTCACTTTTGCCAGATAGACACACTAGAAATTATTGTAGTTAAATAACAATAACAAAAGCGATGTAGTAGTATGAAGAAGTCTGCAAAATCTGTATGCACCAATTAATGCATTGTGTTCGAGTACAAACTGATCTATATTAAATATCCATCCACGGCACGCTATGAAATGAAAAAAAAATGCAAATTGCTGCAAGCAGGTTTAAAACTCTAACCGGTACGGTGTAGACAAGCCCGACCCAATCTTTTCGATATGGTCAGTAACATACTAACGCGGGTGTGGGGGTCGGCCGTACCGGGGCCGGGGTAGGGGTCGGGTAGCGTGCGTAAGTATCCAGAGGCCTTAGGCGTCCAAACTAATTTGGGACTTAATGCCATCTTAACTCACTCTGCGTGGGTTAGAGTCTCTGTTTCGGCCGATCTGGATGACATTAGAAAGCTTGCCAGTAGCTTCTTTTGGGTCGTTGGTTCTTTCCGAGGGTTTTCCCGTGTTCTGCCTCCACCATTTATACTGGCCGCCATGTATAGCTTATCTTGTGTTGAAAAATGACGTTAAACCCTAGAACAATAACAACTTAGCTATTTTCTTCATTTACGTTACTCTTTCAGTTTTGGAAGTTTCATTCGAGAGTTCCGAAAGTTCAGTTTGTTTTTACTTTACTGTGTGTGTGTGTTCTTGTTATTTGGGGACTTTTAAAAATATATATTTGGCGTAATCAGGCGCGTGTTGCTAACATTCACGAATAATTACTAAAAAAACTAATTACAGCAGCTAAAAATGGTAAAACATAGTGAATTTAATATTGAACTTACTTTTTTTTTTTTTTTTTTTTTTACAAATTATGTCGATGCATTATAGGTTTTTAAGAAAGAAAGTTCTTTTGTGTAAATTTGTAATCCGGACTTGATAAAGGATGAGTTTGGGAATAAGACTTTTCGAAATAATCACCAGTTCCATATGCACAAATACAAGTTAAGACAACAGTTTTAACGACGATCTCAAAACTGTTGCATCATCTTATCTCTGCACATAGTAACAATTAAGATCGATGTCTCTTTTTGTGATACTGACCGTTTTGATTGGTATATTTGCATGTTCGAGAAAGCCCGTTGCCTTAAAAAAAAAAAAGCTGTTCTTACTTCCCAAGTTTAGTTTTGTGATTTCGGGTACTGTACGTTAGATATCGAATAAAGGGACAAGACAAGACATGACACAGAAATATAAATAGCATTTCTTTCTTACAAGCTGGAAGAATGTTTTGGACATTTGTATTCATTTTAGCTTACAGAGTAACTAACTGCCTTTATTGATTTAGTTAGTATTTCGGAAAGCATTTTTAGCAACTTTGGAAGTATTCGGTTTAGGTAAAACTTTTCTGAGACAATTGTGATATAAACTCAGTTTACAGTTCTTTAATAGCGCACCTGGTTAAGAAAAGACGTGAACTATGGCGAGTGACATGCGCCATGAAGATTTCGGAACGGTTTTCATGCATGTTATGTTTCTGTTCCCGTTTTGTTCAAAACACAAACTAATGTTTAAATTTTACAAATACGACATGTTAACAATAAACATGAATTAGATTTTAGTTATAAAAAAAAACACCCACAAAAAAGCATACGAATACAAAGGAAACTGTGTATTTCCAGGAGGGGTACGTGTTACGATCTAAAATTTCAAACATGAATGAAATGTCTCTTCTTTAAACAAGCTCTTATAAATGTTAATATTGGCGTTATTTCTTCGTATACTGGCAAGACTGGTTTAAGGGGTGGGTGTAATGAAGTTCAAAATTTTATTCTCTCCCCCCCTCTCTCTCTCTCTCTCTCTCTCTCAACCATGGCTAATTAATTTTCGTAGCATCTCCTTTGAAGTAAGTTCGTTTAATCAAGAAAACCACGCGAGACCAAACGGATTGTGCTCACGGCGCTTGATGACAAGGGTTGTTCACATGATCAGGGGTTTCTCCAACTGGAATCCAATCTGTCTGCAATCCCTTGTCAGCACACTCTCTGCTAAGCAAATGAAAACCTTGCGTCGACGCTGAATGACAGAGCAGATTGCAAAATAAAAAACAAAAAGAAAGTCAGTCGGCAAAGTTAAAGGAGTAGAATATTAGAATATGAACAAATTCGAACCGACAGAGTATAGCTATCAATTTATTTAAAAAAATTCTCTCTCTCTCTCTCTCTCTCTCTCTCTCTCTCTCTCTCTCTCTCTCTCTCTCTCTCTCTCTCTCTCTCTCTCTCTCTGGCCTAGTGGTTAGAGCGTCCGCCTTGGATGCGGAAGGTCGTGGGTTTATTTCACCGATCGAGTCATACCAAAGACTTACAAGAATGGTACTAACAGTACGGTGAGCACTAAGAGGTTAGTGTTAGGACTGGTCGGCCTGGTGTCAGTACAATGTGACTGGTTGGGACATCATGCCACATGTCTGTGGTATGATGGCTCAATGCAAGCCATCACTATAAACTGCCACACAGAAGACATCGTAGCGATATGACTAAAAAATTGCTAAAGCTACATTAAAAATCATAATCGCATCACATCTCTCTCTCTCTCTCTCTCTCTCTCTCTCTCTCTCTCTCTCTCTCTCTCTCTCTCTCTCTCTCTCTCTCGGCAGGTGCCCCTTTATCATATTTACAAACCAGTTTATGCACAGTAACAGCGAACTGAACTGGGAACCCACATTACCAACGTACCCCCCCCTCTCCTTTACCCCAAGTACGTGCCCCTGCTGGATATTGCTTCACTACGTCTCGGCTAGCATAAAACTCTTGACCTTTAAAATTGCAATTGTTTGCGACAAGTATTGACCTGCTACAACATCAAATCGATATCTGACAGGATTAATTCGTTTCCATGGTAACCGAAAATATAGATTCAGGTGTTCGTCAAGAGAAATGATTCTCAGGTACATGGACTTATCGTACATGTTAGGAAACGAGGGGAGGCCGTATAATATCAAATGCACAGGGAGTTTATACGAGCCGGAAAGAGTTGTATTGGTCTGGAACTTACAGATGAGATGACACCAGAACGAACTTTTTCATTTACTGCTATCTGTTGCATCACGTTATTTGCTTTGCTGTTTTTATTTTCTTTGTGTCTATTTATTTTCTGTTCGACAAATTAATGTAAACAAGGCAAAAAAAAAAAAAACCAAAAAAAAAAAACAACAAAAAACTGATACACGACGGGCGAAAACTCAACGCTATTTACCTGTTTCATTAATATGTACAGACATCAGACGTATTAAATACTTTACATACGCTAACTGGTTTATAATATCCTTGATATAATCTCATGTCAATTTGACTTTCAAATTACTACTTGTGTGAACTTGATACATAAAAAATCTAGAGTTGATTAAAAAAAATGTTGCACATCCGGGATAGCTAACACTATTCTGGTCCAGTAAGAGTACATGACATTTTATATCGGATGAGTTGGTGAGGATTGGAATTCATTTAAAATACAAAACAAATAGTTTCTGCCCATTCTTGATTCGATAGTTTTTGCTCCTTATGCCTGACAATCCTTAATAAGTTTCGACAAAACATAATATTTGGACTAAATGGAATATATCCAAAATTCAGTAATTATCCGTTACTATGTGTTGAATTATGTCCCTTTCTACTCTTTAGCTGTGGGGTACGACAAGTTTGTTCCCGCTGGTCTTGTGTGCAAAATGGTACGGAACTGTGGATACTAGAGTTTGATTTCGTGGAATAATAGTGGCAGAGAAACGTAATAAAAACAAATCAATCCTCGCGTTTCTATTTAACGTGTTAGTCCAAATTCAGAAAGAGCGGGGGATGGGGGTGGGCAAGTTTTTAAGAGCACAGGGTGTATTGCAGTAGGGCTAAGTTAATATGATGCTGATAATGTCGAGCAGGAATGCATGGGATAATGGTGTGTCCACAGGTACTCGACGTGAGCTTGATTTAAAAAAAACCCCCAATAATCTTAAGAAAAAAGTCATACAGAGTGACTAAAAATACCTCAGATTACCCCCATGACTCATTTTGACATTGGACCCTCTCTGTTATACTATTTTATTAACTCGGTATCTTACAATCCATTCAGCATTGAATCAGAATATCAACAGTGTAGGTTTAATTTATAACCATCGTAGAATTTATTAGCATTTTATTGAGGAAAGATTGATACAGAAAAGAATGTTTATCATTTTCTTGGATACAAAATTTTTTTTCAGGTAGAACATTTAACTTTAATTTCCCAAGCCAATTGCTACTTGATTATTTTCTATTTATTTCATTGGCTTTGTTATAAATTTCCTTTGTTACAGTTTTTAATTGGTTGATTTGTGTGGTCTGCCTAAGAAAATTAGCTCATTTATAATGTTTTTATTGTATTGCTCTGGTGGCCTATGTGGTTAGAGCAACTGTGACACATACTAGGTAGTAGGTTTGAGTCCTGATCGAGTCATACCAAAGACTTATAAAAATGGTACTAGAAGCTGCCACATTTGGTGCTCAGCATTAACAGGTTAGTGTTAAGAAGGGCTGGCCTGGTGTCAGGATAATGTAACTGGGTGGGACATGATGCTACATGTTTGCGGTATGATGCTTCAGTGATAGACATTGCTGTAAACTGCCACAATGCAGTCATTGTAGCGATATGACTGAAATATTGTTCAAACTTCGTTAAAAATTCTAATCACACACACATTTTTATCACCAGATAAATAATGGCGGTTGTTAAATAATTACAGTGGTTACCATGGAAATGAAGGAATCCTGTAAGATATTCACAAGTCATTCATAATGGGTAAATGAGAGGGCCTAGCATAGAGAGCAGTAATAAAGGTCTGATAATCATACCTCATACATTATTGGTATTTGAGAGTCAAAAGTTACTGGTGCAGTGCAATTGAAGCATGAAAAGAAAATACCATTGGGAAAATATTGAATAAAATTATTGCTGATAATGTTAGTGAAGCACTCTTAATCCTGCCATTGGACCTCACAATCCTGGATTCCTTTACTCTTGTCTTGTTTAATTTCTCTTCCAATTAGACTTTGAAGGCACAAAAATATACTGACTCTTCCACACAGTGGTCAAACTCATCCTCTAGGAAAGACCCTATCTTAAATTGCAGTAATTGTATCAGGAGACTCTTCAAAAACCAAGGACTTTGAACAACAGCCGTAGACATCATTCTCAATTCATGGAGACCAGAAACATCTAAACTATATAATTTGGCATGGAAAAAATGGTGTTTTTGGTGTCAGATCAGGGAAATTAATTCATTTTGTGTCTCTGAGGTAACAGTTATTTCATATTTAGATTCTTTGGTAACTGAAGGTTAGTCTTATAGTGTCGTAAATACTCATAAGGCTATGTTACTTACTATGAGAGTGGTCTCCACCCTCTGTTAATTAAAATATACTTGTAGGGATTGCTTAACAAAAGTCCACCAAATCCAAGACATGTTGACACTTGGGATATAAACCTAGTCATAAAATACCTGTGTACTCTTTTTCCTCTGGAAACTATATTTTTAATATAACTAATATTGAAGCTGGCTGCTGTTATTGCTTTATCTGCATGAGCACAAACTCTAAAATCTTTGAATTTACATAACATGACTTGTTTGGCAGATAAAATAGTATTCAGTTATTTGGATTTGTTGAAAACTTCAAGACAAGGTAAGAATTTCCCGATGGAACCACTACATTATAAGAATAAAAAGCTTTGTGCCATGCATACTGTATTGCATTATTTTGACAGGACTACCAATATTCGGAAATCTACTCAAATTCTGGTATGTTACTGTTCATGCAGAGGCGTGACAACAAGTGTTATTGCATGATGGTTAAAAATAGTTTTAGAACAATCAGGAATTGATATATCTAAATTTAAAGCTTATTCTTACAGAACTGTTGCAGCATCAGCTGCTTTCAGACATGGCTGTTTTGAAAACGGCGGACTGGTCATCAGTAAAAACTTTTTACAAATTTTATCTAAAGGATATCCAGGCTAATAGCAAGCATTTCACTGAAGCAGTTGTTAATAACATATAAAAAATATTTTTCATTTGATTATGGTTTACAGAAGGCTGAGCATGTATACACCCACCCATTCTTTGTTGCAAGTTGGAGTTCTCCCTTCCTGTATTATATAAACAACAAAACACTTTAAACTGAGATGCCTCGTGCAGGTGGCTTGTTTATATAGGGTACTTCAGGTAATGTGTTGTTTGACTGGTAAAAGTTTCCTTTTCTTGTAAGAGTGCGAATTTCCGAAAATGACAGAGTAACATGCTATGTATACATTATCAGCCTTGGACTTTACTCCAATAATGCCCCTCAGCCATCAAAAAAGCTTGGATGAGGGGTACATTACCATTGATAGTGCCATTGCTGCTGCTTTTGCATTGGATACATACTTGTGTGTTGGTAAAGATGCTGATTTCTTTGAGTATATAAATTCTGATAGCACTATTGCACATCTGATATCGATGATTAAAATTTAAGTTTCAGTTGAAATATAAATTTAAATTTGAATCAAAATTGAAATTTTGAAATTTTGAACTTAAATTTAAACTGTTGTGCCATAAAGATAATGTTGCAGAATTAGTCATGACATAAAATTTTGAAATTTAAATTTGAATTGTAATTTAAGTTTGGATTGAAATGTAAGTTTGAATTGAATTGCAAATTTGAATTTAAATTTAAATTTAATATGCCATGAGGATATTGTTGCAAGATGATCAAGATGATTCCAGCAATCCAGAATTGGGAAATTTTCATTGCAAAATGAGTATTTTGTAGCTTGTAACCTAAAACACATCACTCATAATTTTTGTTACAATCTATTTTCATACATTCTTTTAGAACAGATAAAGAATGATATTACAGACTAAAGTTACTTGTAATTATATAATTTTATTGCTTTGAACAGAAGACTTACCCTTTTGAATAGTAGCGATATTTGATGTTGTTGCATTTTTGTTACAAAAAGTTTTATAAGTAACAGATCCTCATTATGACAGAAATTTATCACTTTATTCATCTTTATTATAATAATAATCCTGTTTGTTACATGTGTTTTTGGAATAAACATGCCCAATAATTAGATGGCTCCATATCAAATTAACATTGTATTTTAATGGACACTAGACTTTCACGCATATTTGCAAAGCAGTAAACTAGAATAGTGAATACCTTTTAAAACTTTTAACATTTTCACAAAATAATAGCATGAAGTCATAAGAAACATGATTTGTTTCATTAGAATTAAAGTACATGAAAAGTCATTTTGCATTTCGCATTAGGCAATGCATACATTGGCACAAAAAAT